TTGCTACACGTGTCCATGTTGTTTGGAAACTTCGTTTCAAATATTTTTTGGTTTATATTGTCGTAATTGGCATTCCAAAAATTACGTTTCTTGATTTTCTCCGTTGAACTTGGTTTTATGTTTATCTGCGGTACAGCGTTCACTACAACGTGATCACTGCCAGCAATTGGATTTGAAGTGCAAATTTGTTAAATAATTTCCTATCGCTTACCAGTAATAAATCAAGAAGTGATTGTTGATCGTTTCTAATTCTTGTGTTGAAATCTATTATCTGTTTCGCATTGTTCTCTACATAAAATCAAAGAATTCTTCTGCTGGCTGATTTTGTTGGTTTAGTGAAAGAGTTTTCCAGTCTATTTATTTATAATTAAAGTTTCCGAACATTATGGTATAAATATCTATGTCCCAAAAAGGACTGTTATAGGTCAGAAGTATCCCTGTTGGTTTGACAAAGAACTTCGTAAACTTATTGCCAAAAAAAAACAGATTGCACAAAAAATTTAAGAGATCTTGCTTGAGTGATTATGAGGCCTTTTGAAATGTAAGGCTTCCGGACTGAATTGCGTTATTAAACGTTTATTTCTAAAGCGGAACATCTTATTCCCGAAAACATCAAACATTTTTGGTCATAGGTGAAGAGCCTAACAGGTGTTTCTGGTCTGCCCAGCAATGCAGTACAATAATCAACCCCTCATTAATTTTAATGATACCTATTGCTGATGCGTTTGCCTCGTACTTTCAGTCCTGTTATTCAAAATCATGAAGATGTGGACTTGTCCAATAACAGCTCTGTGCAATTCTCTGCCACTTTGTCTTTTCATATCTTTACCGCAGGGGAAATCACCGAGAAGTTATCATTCTTTGATAAATCTAAGAGAGTAGGCCCTGATGGCATTCCACCCTTATTGTTGAAATCTTGTTGCTCCTCCCTTGTAAACCCATTAATTGAGAGCTCTTTTCCAAAGGTCGATGGATGCAGGTTAGTTTCTTTCCTTATGGAAAAAATCTTATCTTCTTCCCGTTTCCAAGGCGGGTGACAGGTCGGTTGTCAGTAATTACCGTGGAATAGGTATCTCTTCTCTCTGCCATTCCTAAACTTTTTGAGTCGATTCTTACTGATGAAATTTTTTACACATATAAAAACTACATTATTCCTGAACAACATAGATTCTATAATAGTATATTCTTTAACGAGCATAGAATAATAGCCATTATTTGCGAGTAGAAGACTGTACTTTCTCTTCGAACTTTTTGAAAGAAAATCATTAGTTTTTGTAAGAAATAACAATCATCAGAAGTCTAAACCCGCCTTATTTTTTTTAAATTGAAAGTTTGGTGATCTGACAAGAGACGTCAGTCATGTTTTGTTTGTATTTGTCTCGTTGCGGCCCGTGTATTAGGCAATTCAATCCAATTCAATCCATCTGTCAAAACGGAAAATTCAATGTGACGTGGCGGCCAAGCAAGTTTGTTTTAGAAATGTTTTTATGCGTATTTTAAATTATTTTGCATACAGTTTTGCTTACAACTTTCATTTTCATTATTTAATAAAATATTTGTTGACTACGTACCTGAACTATTAATTCCGGCAGAAACTAGATATTTTTTTGTGTTTTTTGGCCCATGTGTGGCCGCCACGCCATCTTGAATGTCACGTGGTTTGAATTGCCTAATTCCGAAAATACGGAGAATTTGATTGGTCGACAGGCCGTGGATTCCGGTTTGGATTCCACGGGGCGTGTAGAATTCGTATCTTTAATCAATTTAATATCGAGCAAGAATGAATGTTTTATTTAATGTTCGAAGAGAAAGGTCGTTCCTGGCTGTACCTGCTAACCTACAGTTTATTTTTTCCCAAGATGGATTTTGGCATTGTCAACTTTGAAACGTAAACAATGCCGCTAATGCCGCTTATTGGTCGCTATTGTAATGTCAACCTGCAGAAATACCTCATTTTGCGACCAATCAGGGTCAAGCGTTATTGTTTATGTTTCAAAGTTTTCAATGCCAAAATCTATCTTGGGAAAAAATAAAAAGCGTAGCAGTTTACCAGGACTTTCGTGTTTCATCCGTTGAAGCTGGCTGTCAGGTTGACACTATTTATACTGATTTATCTACAGTCTATTTTTTCCCAAGATAGATTTTGACATTGAAAACTTTGAAACATAAACAATGGCCGAGTTCGTTTTTGTCATCTTTTTCGTCGATTTTCTCCGAAATTTTGACAGGCACGTGATTTGTAAATTGAAACACTCTCATCCAGTCACGTGCCTGTCAAAATTTCGGAGCAAATGGACGAAAAAGATGACAAAAACGAACTCGACCAATAAGAAGTAAAATGAAGACAGAGTCTCCATCTATTTTCTAGTCGGCAACCAATAAAACAAAAAAAATAAATAAAAATACCCAATTATAAACAATAACGCTTGGCCCTGATTGGTCGCGAAATGAGGTGTCCCTGCAGGTTGACATCAGCATTACAATGCATCTCGTGCAAATGGCATTTTGCGACCAATAAGCGGTATTGTTTATGTTTCAAAGTTGACAATGCCAAAATCTATCTTGGGAAAAGAATAAACTGTAAAGCCTTTGACAGCACAGATAGATACAGAGATACAGTGTCTGTCATCTTTTACTGGTAAAGAAATTGTCTGAGATCGGTGTATCTGGTAATTACATAGAACTGATTAAATCCCACCTATCTCAGCGTCATCAGCTTGTTACTGTTTGTAGTTCTGTAACTTGTGACTTCTGGCGTCCCCCAGGGATCGCATATCGGTCCTGTGCTCTTTTCATTATTTATAAATGATGTTCTATTATGTTTTAAAACATCCTATCCCAATGTCTCTTAAACGCCGAACGCCGATGACCTCAAACTCTTTAGCTCGGTTGTCCTGGTCTCGATGGCTTGAAGTCTGATCTTGACAGACTTCTTATGTGGTGCGAATCTAACTTCCTGTCAATTAATATCTCTAAATATAAATCTATCTGTTTCCACAAACGTCGGAACCCATTGACTAATAGTTATACCATTAATGATTCAATAATTGAAAATGTATCATCTATTAACGATCTAGGAATAATTTTCGACACTGACCTAACATTTAATTCGCATATAGGGATTTAGGATGCTGGGCTTCATTAAGAGAAATTCAAAGCACATTAGATACAAAAGCAATCACTTGTTTGTATAATTGTCTAGTTCGAAGTTTGATAGAGTACTGTTCTGTGATCTGGTCACCTCGTTACGCTTGTCATGTACAACGACTGGAAGGAGTTCAAAGTAAATGTTTCAAATACCTGTTGTATGAACTTCACTTTCCTTATAGTAATGGTCCTTAGACACTAGACTTTTGCTTTGTGGTGTCAAAAGCCTTGAGTGTCGTCGAAGAAATGCTTATTTGTTGTTTCTCTACAAACTTCTCAATGGAGTAATTGCCTGCACTCATCTTCTATTATATTCCATTTATTGTATACCTAGGTTGCTAAATGAACAGGACTGGTCAGCGATTTCAAAAGAGTCTAGACGAGTTTTATAATATACTTAATAGCATCTTTGATCAGTGTCTCGAGTGGAAAAAAACCAACGAAATAATAAGTTTCCAGCCTGGTTCTCAAAGAGGCTGATACATAAATTAAATGAAAAAAAACTTCTATAGGCAAAAGTTAAATTAAGATCAGAGACTAAAAAATTGATCAGAGAATGTCATAATAAATATCTAAAAAATGTTGAAACTGTTGAAAGTAATATAGGTATTCAAAATCGTCAATATTTTTGGAATTTGGTTAAACAAAAAAGGAAAAACAATAATATCTGCCATAATTTTACATATAATGGCTCCAGTTTTACTGAGAGAACCTCCATTGCAAATGCTTTCGCTACATACTTTCAAGATGTGTACACAAAGACAAATCACTCAGAAAATTGCGAAAACTTAATAAATACAAACTATCAACTTGACATATTGAAAATAGATCATATAAACATGGATGATATAGTGGAAGCCATAAAATCGTTAAAACCTAAAGCATCCCCTGGTACAGATGGCATGCTCACCTGCTTTTTAAAAGCCTATTCAGATATCTTGATAACCCCAATTCAAATATTAATAAACAAATCGTTGTCTACAAGATGTTTTCCAGACCAGTTGAAGAATGGTAGAGTTACTCTTATTCATAAATCAGGAGACAAGTCTGATAAGTAATTACAGACTAGTTACCGTTTTACCAGCGCTCTCAAAAATATTTGAAAAAATACTACATAAATAAACAAATTTTTAATTATGTCAAACATGTTATTCTGCCTCAACAACATGGGTTTCAAAAAGGCAAATCAACAACAACCAATGTTAGTGTGTTTACGGAGTTTTTGGCTAAACATGTAAGCAGTGGCCTCACGCACAAAATATCTGCAAAGGTAGCAGTGCTGAGCTGCTGAAAGGCCGAAACGACTCCCCCGAAATCTACAAGCAGTAGCCTACAAGTTGATGTGTGCACGGACCTAGCGAAGGCATTTGATAAATAGTGCCATGATGTCCTGATAGGAAAACTGAAGCAGTTCTCATTTAGTGATAATCTGATTAGTTATTTGGTCTCATACATTGGCAATGGGCCTCAAACTGTCAAATTTGAAGAAGCTAACTCTCGGAGCTATGTGGCCATGTCTGGGGTACCTCAGGGATCTGTTCTTGGACCGCTGCTCTTTGCGTTGTTTGTTAATGACATATTTAATTATGCGGGTAGTTCAGAGTTCTTACTATATGCAGATGATCTAAAGATCTTCAAAATTTTTGAAGACGAAAGTGATGCAATACTTCTACAGAGGGATGTAGATAAAATCCTATCATTCTGTGAAGATAATAGGCTGTCACTAGCTTCTGTCGTAGAGCACGTAGAGAATTTTGCGATATTAATTTTATCTATATTATTCTAAATAACAATATAGATTGACCTGAGTTGTTACCATATTATAAACTTCAATGTACAGGGTATTTGATTATATTTGGACCCATACCTACAGCCTCTATTTAAGATAGAAAAAAAATTCAAATACAAAACTTGACAGTTTTTTTCTATATTTTCTTTTCACAGTATCAGAAAAAACCAAATCGCATCGGAAAATGGAGAAATGTAGGCAACTTTGACTTTTCTTAATAGAAAACCCTGTATATTATGCGATATAAGATGAAAGATCTTTTCTTCCTGATTCCATAGGTTTACTAAACTGTACTTTTTATATGGATGTAAAATCTGTTATTTGTGCAGTATAAATACATGTCTGTTATTATTATTATTATTAAACTTGATCACATTTTTAATTCCAATAAAACGTACAGGACAAGTGCAGTTATTTTACGAGCGTTATCATACAACTAACTATGGCCTTAATGCTTTTGTAGATCGTCTAGTTCATAATTATAATAGGTACTTCCATGATTGTGATCTTTTCTCCGTTAGTTTGGTATCTGTTAAGAGGATGTTGAGATGACTGGCTGACTGTGCCACTTCGTTATGTCCTTTGTTGGTTGTGAATCTTTGTTTTTGTTTTTTTATCTTTGTATCATTTAGAATATTTTATTCTGTAGTGAATTGAATTTGTAAATAAATAAATAAATAGTGTTGGTCAAGAATTCGAACACTTGTTTAATGTACTCCAAAAGTTCTCTGTTTCTATAGGTATGTCTTGTGGTCTGTATATGCCGAGGTATATGCATACTAAAGAGAGCTGAAGTGTTGTGAGTGTGATATCAAATAAAATCGGAATGGAATCTCTGGTTTAATGCTACTGTGGGTTTGACACCTGCAATGCTTTCACATACATAAATTATAACTTCATCCCCTTTTCTGTTTTCTCTATAAACCCTATAAAGGCAAATAATTCAAAAAAATTATTTAAGACTTGAGTAGAAAATTGCTGGTTCTATTATATTGGTAAGGGACCAGACTAGAGAAAGGGCACTTTACTCACTCTCATGGTAAATACGATATTTTTTTTGTAATATCCACAAAAAATTAATAGTTTACTCCCAAAACAATAGAACAATACATTTTCCATAAAAATTTCATATTATTTTACATTAGTAATCCTAACATTATTTTTCTTGTAGCATTCTAAGCTACAAAGTGGTACACCAGTCTTGGAACACGAATATTTTTTGAAATTCCCACAGCCCATACTACAAAGCGATTGTTTTTTAGGTTTATGTACCTTCTGTGGCTTCAAAGGAAAATCGATTCCTTCAGGCAAAGATAGAACAGTTGTGAAACAATTTTGTTTATAAATAATCAATGGATCATTTGTACGTGTTGTTCTATATTTTGCCTGTTTGGTTGCTTTGGAATCTTGCTTCTTCAAAAGTCTCTCCATTGTTTTCAGTTTGTCTTTTTCACGTTTCTCATCAGCTAATTGTTTTCGTTTTTGAGATTTAAGTGCTGCTTTGTGGAGGGCTTCAGCTGTCATGACTTTTTCTTTATAACCTAGGAATTTACAATAAATTTTTATTATGCTCTTTAACAGATGTAAATGTTACCTGTGGGAAGAGACATTAAAGTCGGTGTGGCTGTAGGCAGATTTCCGTCACTTCCACTTCTATCATACATAGCCCGTTGCCTTGCAGTCATCAATGCCGGATCTTTCGGTTTTATTTTTTTCAACTCCTCATCAACATCTTCTAATTTACCACTTTCAATAGCTGTAAGCCAACGTTCTTCGTCACTCGAAGCACTGTCACGTTTCTTTCGTCTGCTCTTGTCTTTACTTGTGCCAGCTATTGGACTTGTTTTATTAACATTAGGAAGAGGTTTGATTAGGTTCTTTACACTAGTTGGTGTAGTTGGAGTACCTACATCTAAAATCATTATGTATTCATTTGTAGAGGTGGGCGAAGAAGCATCTAAAACTGCAGCAGCTGCAGGTGAAGGTTTACTGGGTTTTTTCAATTTGGCTTTTTTGGCCGCTGAAGGAGATGATTCTTCTTGTTCCATCACGCAACTTTTGGCAAAGAGAATTTGTTAAACCACCTACAACAACAAACAAAAGTTTATTCAATATATGGGATTTTTTTTTGTTGCTGGATCCGGTGGGTAGGTATGAGGTATTAGAATTTGCTTGCTGGACTCTGGACGAGTTTTGTTTTATTTTTTATTTGTTTTTGTTATTGTTTTTGCATTTTTGTTATTTTTGTTCACTTTGTTTTTTTTTTCTTCTTTGAGTTTGAGGTTAGAAGTTGTATTCCTTTCAAGAGTTTGAAAAACTCGAGCTACTCGCTCCGGTGTTTAGTCGCCCCCGATTTACAGGGAACAGATGCGTGGTGCTGGTGCAACAAACACTATGAAAGGAATAAGCGCGTGAAGCCCCGGAGCTCCTCCTAGGTGTGAAAGGAATACAACTATTAGAAGATTGTTTTGTTATAGCGTTTTTCTTTGGTAGAGCAAGTGCTACGAGTGCAACATTCCCTTGCACTGACACTGGTGCTCTTAGATCTGGTGCTTCTGAAAAAATTGCACCCGTGCGTGTCGTGCAAGTCCGAAGAAACTTGGAACTACACTACCACTACGACAATGGGTGTTCATTTGTACTTGCTCTACCTGCTCGAAAAATCAGGAAGATCTGCTAGGAGTCTTATTCATCAAGGATAATACACACTACTACTACAGGATAGTCTATCCTCATAAGGCCTGTGTGAAACAAATCTGAAACCCCCCTCACCACGCCGAATCACCAGTTGTGATGTAGGCAGCATGTCGTTTCCCGCCGTGACGTAGGCTGTTTGCACCACAGGTTATGATTCAGCGGGCTTTTGCTTTATGCGAACTGGGTTTCACTACATTAATCAACCTTCTAAAACAACTCTTTTTAGATCTCGTTTACATCTTCCTTTTTGCCTAATATGTTAATCAAAATTAAATGATGTTTTTCATCATAAATTTAAATTCTAAACTAGGGCAGCTGGCGCAAACAGCTGGACGACTTAGTAAGTGACATCGCAATGGTGACCAATATGGCCGCGATTACCAAAAACGCTGATAAGCAATCCTTAGTAGTGTTTATTCTCCTTTTCTATTCATGAGCTTATATATGGGACAAGTGAACGCCGATCTGCTACTGAGACTGAGATCTGCTTGAAGCTCAATGGCTTGAAGCAAGAAACCCAGTACAAATGAACCGCTTTTCAGTGACGAATTTTAAGGTGGTCCACACCAGTAGCTTCTCATTCTGGGGCTCCAAACAACTGTTGTGTCACTGGAACGCTCCCTACTTTAAGCGTCGTGTTTTTGATGCACCCATAAAATTGCTGGTGCTTGAGAGGGTAGAGGGAATCACGAGTAGTCACGACAAGTAGAATTCTACTTTCATGACGTCAGGCTGCGTAGCAACCGTCATCATCGCCTGTACTGTACGCGATAAATATGTCGCGGGTGACGTTATGAAAGTAGAATTCTACTTGTCCTGATCCCAGCCAGCGGTGAGGGAAAACGAACACAGTTCAGTTGCGCCAAACTCCAATGCACTGGAACGTCAATTAACAGTCCGAGGCACTCTAGAGCAGCTCAGGAGTGCTTAAAGTTCGTCACTAGAAAGCGACTATGAACACCCTATTAATTTGGGCTGAGTTTCGCTTTTCCCTCTAAATGATTTAAGATCCTGTGGCTGTTCGTTTTAGCTCTCAAAGTGTTCTCTCTTGCGTTCCGTTGACAATCGAGCACGTACCCTGAGTTCTCCCGGTTTGCGTTTTCGGTTTTTTAGAAATAAACAAAACTTTTTATTTTGAGATTAGTGACACCGTGCTGTGACAGATATCTGTTTTTCGATCTGCGTTCTGCGTATGATCCTGTTCAGGGCGCACTCTGCCCAAGGTTCCTAAAGTTAACCTCTCTCAAAAGTTGATAGGTTTTGTGTCTCAATGGTGTCTGGTAATGGGTAACTTGACGCATCTGGGGTGCCTTATTGAGATTTGCATTAGTTGTATTCCTTTCAAGAGTTTAGAACACTAGAGCTATTCGCTCCGGTGCTACTCGACCCCGATTTGAAAGGAACAGATGCGATGGCTTTCGTGCATTTGAATGGTTTAGTTCGGGCTTGAACACTTCAAGGGGATCACGATCAGCAGAATTCTACTTTCATGACGTCACCTGCTACCTATTTTGTCACGTAGTATAGGGCAGGCGATGATGACGGTTGCTAGGCAACCTGACGTCAGGAAAGTAGGATTCTAGTAGAATTCTACGTGTCGTGATCCCACCCCAGGTGCAACAAATACTTTTCGAAAGGAATAAGCGCGTAACGCCCCGGAGCTGTTCCGGAGCTCCTCCTAGGGGTGAAAGGAATACAACTATTATGTTGGTTGAGGCATTCCTGATGACCAGGGGCGGATTAAGCATCATAATTTTTTATTTTGTCATTTGAAGATTCTTCAATATATATTAAATATATAAAAAAGACAAATACTTATATATTGAGTTAAAAATGGCATGAGAAAAGTTGATTAGTGCCAAGGTCTTTTCATCTGAAAGTGTGTTTGTATGGTTTTTATTCCTTCCAGGTTGGAAAAGCGCCTCTCTCCAGACGCGTTAGTGGATGGAAGGCAAAGATACATTCTCAATGGTACCTCGATATTGGGAAATGTCGAGATAAGTTTTTCATACTTTAAACTTTGTAGAAGGTCTCCCAAATTTAAGGTGCCATCGTGGCCACTAGAAATCGGAAAATATTTATAGTGAAGACATTCCTGAGGAAAATAATCGACCAGATCGTTTTTACATGTTTCCTTGAGTCGCTGCGCTTTTGTTCTATTTCCTCCATCAGATAATAGGCCTGTTCGGGTTTGAAAAACGGACGGTTCTAGAACGGTCCAAACAATCCACAGTTTATTATTGAAATTTGTGTGATAGCAGAGCCGTTGTCACTTTGTTGATTGATGAACTGTGCGATTGAACCATTCTAGAACCATCATTTTTCAAACCGAATAAAGCTAAAGTCTGTTTTTTTTAAAGATAATTCCCTAAGTCAAAAATTTAGTAACTATGTTGGAAACACAAACCTTTTCTACATAAAAAATTTTAAAGCATTGACAATTTTACATTGTATTGCCAACATAATGTCATTTTGACTTTTATCTTTAAAAAAAACACAGTTTATTATGACAAATTTATAGATACAAAAATCCAGTTCCAAGGTCAAAATTTTGTCATATCATGTGTAAGAAGTCGAGTTTTTGTCATTTTGCTGTCTAATTTTCTGATTTTTTCCATCTTATTTTTCTTGGGGGTTTTTTGAAATTTTTCGCCCCCTTTGACTTTTCGCCCCTGGGCGATCGCCCAATTCCGCCTTATGGTTAATCCGGCCCTGCTGATGACGTCATAAAGTTATCATCACCTTACTCTCAAACAACCTTGCATTCTGCCTATGACGTCACGAACATGATATCCATGCTCATAGGTGCTGCTCACTTAGTTCATGCTGATACCGTTCCACTCCGTGGAGTGCAGAACCGAACTCAGCCTTTTGTCAGCCATGTCTGTTCAAATTCTGTCAAAAACCGTCCCAGCGCAGTGATTTTAGAACGCCCCAGCCCAGGTGTCTGGAGCTGTGAAAATCCTGCTCAAAGAAGTTCAATGGTTGAAGTTTTCGAAATCCCCTTTTCATTTTGACAAGAACCCAAAAGTCGCCATCACGTCATGTGTCTTACTCTTAAGTCATAAATGACAAATGTCACGCTAAACAATAAACAAATAAAATTGGACCGGCTGTCCGGCTACCACACCATTTTAATTTTTCATGCTTTTTAATTTTTTCCAAGTTGTGATTGTGAATTTTGATTCATTGCCTGGACTGCCCTGGACTGTGTTGGTTAATTGGTGATACACGTACCGGCGGTGAGCTTGTTTTTAGTTCATTGATCCATACTTTCAAATTGTGCATTTGTTCACACATTTCAACTTTCTTCTCTATCAATTTTATCAACAACAAGGTTAGTACTCTTCCTCAGAAATTAATTAAACTAGAAAAGGTATTTTTTTCAATTTATAGAATTTCCTGTACCTATACCTATACCATCTTATTTTCCCATCCCATGGGATTTAATTAATCCTCTAACCTTATATGTAACTGAATTACAGATACCAAATACATAACTCTCCAAAATGAAAGAAGTTATTGACGTGATGGAACTCCAAAGGGAAAAGGCTCGTCGAGCCGCTATAATAGATTACAGGAAAATGGATTTTATGGGAGGTTTTTCCCCTGCTCTGTTCGTATTTGAATGTGGAAAGAAGCTCAATGGACAACCCTTGACTTTGGCGACTGCTGCTGTTATATTGCACAGGTTTTTCAAGGAAATGGATCACTCAAATTATGATCCCTATGTGAGTGAATAATTATGTATTTTCCAAATTTTACACATTCTCAAATCTCAAGTTTGTGATAACGTTTTTATATAATCATAAATTGGCATGAAGGATGAATCTATGAGCTACACACTCAAATCTCATATGCTCACTGATAACAAAATTTGCAGGGCATTCATTGGTCCAAGGATTCCTTGTTACATTACCATACTGACTGAGTCACTGACCTAGGAGGCAGACTCCGTTTTATAGCGTGTTAATGCTTCTAGAATTGTGTGCATAATTTGTTTCCATTTGTCTCTTATTTGCTGGACTATTGCACAGTAAAACTTGCATAACTTTCCAGTCAAATTATCAAATTCAAAACAGTTTCCAACTTGAGAGAATTATATAACATTATTCGCGAGATTATTCTGCTTAGCATGTACTGTTCCATCGTGTAGGAATTTGGAATTTGTGTTTTAGATTTTTAAGATTGGCCATCTTTGTGTATTGCTGCAGTGTCTCTGATCCCTTATCTTAACTTAGGCCGATGTTATCCAACTCCTTAACTCTTTATCTCTAATTCTTATTTCGTAAAATATTAACTATCGATTTGGTCCTGTTACCCAGTTCCTTAATTTTTTTTCGGCCTCCAAATATATAAGACTTCAGTATTCATAGGTTTTTTATTTTAATAGAATATAGGTGTTTTTTATTTCAATATTGTGTTGTTTTCAACCAACACAAAAACACAACAAGACAAAATAAAGTCTTTTTCCTTTTGGAACATTAAACAGCTGATCAAGAGCACATCATGTTTTGCTTTGTAAAAAACTTGAAAACAAGAATTAGATGCAAAAACAACCTTATTGTACATCCATTCACATGTAATGAGTCGCATCAGCTATGGAATCATCATTTGGGGATCAACATCTAAAATTGAAAGACTGTTTTTACTCCAGAAGCGCTTGATATGTGTCTTGGATAGAGCTAAATGGAATGAACATGCTGTCCCAATCTTTAGAAAATACGAACTGATGACCATGTATTCTTTATACTTTTATAGGGTATTGTTGTTTGTTAGAAAACATCAAAGTTATTTTAAAACCAATAGTGAAATTAACAAGGGAATCAAAACCAGATTTTCTCAAAAGTTAACAATCCCTATTCACAAAACATCATTATTTCAGTCATCTCCACTTTATATGGCTACAAAAGCATACAATTATCTTCCTGCAGATGTAAGAAACATCCAAGGTTTTAATAGTTTTAAGAATAGGATTAAAGCTGTGCTTATGGATAATCCTCTTTACAACCACAATCAATTTTTTAATGTAAACTTTTTAAATATCATTTTGTGTATTGTAATGTTGGTTCATGTGATTTTGAATATTTTGTTATTTGTTGCTCTGCATGAAATACTATGTAGTACTGTGTAATTTGTTAAAAAAAAATCAATTTATTGTAACGACAAATGTACTTAATGTGCATATCTTTATAAATCTGACATTTTGTTCAAATTTATTTAATATTTATAGTAATAGCTTTAATGTTTATACTAGTGTAATCGACACATCCAATATACCAATGTATCAGATGGACTAAGGATTGAATAAATAAAAACATGCGCATTTTGTATTTTTCCTAATTCCTTATTTCTTAATTCGGAAAGTTGAAAAGTTGCCATCTTTCAAGGTCGTTCTTAAAAAATAAGAATAAGGAATAAGGAATTGGATAAACGCTATCATTTAATAACACACTGTTAACTTGTTATGAATTAAGCACTAAGAAATAAGAATTAGAAATTAAGAATTAAGGAGTTGGGTAACACCGGCCTTAATAAGTATTAGGAACAATAGTGAAAGCTGTAATTGCTAGAAGTGTGAATATTGAAATAAAGATTTTGATTCCGTGGATTGTGATCAGATATTGTCATTCAAGGTTCTGATCATTCCAAAGAGCATGGACTGCTGGAATACTCCTTCCACAGTTGTGCCCTCCAAAATGCAAATTTTATGAATGTGAATAACCACCAAATAATCAATGGGATCCTTTTTCTAATTCAAATATGAAATTAATTTGTGTCTTACTGTGTAGTAAAAGGACCAATTTTAATATTATTTTAGCAGAAATTGACTGGTTCCCATTTCTTTTTTGTTTTGTTTTTCGCACATTCCATCTTCCTGATGTTTCTATACCACAAGTAATTTGAGGTGTTTCATATTTAACCCTAAGTTTTTGTGAAGGAAGACCAGGAAGAGCCTCGGAAAAGCTCTGTTAGAAGCGCTGCTCAAAAAATGGCATGAAACTGTTCAATTCGATTGCGTATTTTTTTTCTGCATTCCTGTTATGTCAGTCATAAAAAGGTCTAAATTGGCTCTCCAAAAAATTTCAATTTAATCGGACTAGAACTAAGAAAGATACAGCCTGTTGAGTAAAAATTTAGAAAAATCCATAAAATTGGATATTTTTTGGAAAATGCCGGTTTTCACCAGTTTTGCAATTCCAAATTGACTGGCGAACTTCAAAATCGGATCCGCCAGTAGGCCAAGGCACTTAGCGGAATAACAGCCATTATTTTAACATAAAATTTAACAGCAAACTATCGATGCAATATTGTTAAGGATCATTTATAGATGCTAAAAACCAAAAATGCAACATCTAATTACTTTTAGGGGATTTCATAAACAATATTTAATGCAAAAATAGGGCTTTTTTTGTTAATTTGACTGTATTTCGAGAACTAATGATCGGATGGTTTTGCTACTGTGGTAATAGTTTTAGAGCATTGAACAAGCTTTACAATGAGCCATCATACAACCCTGTAGGTCTTTTAGTCTTCGAGAAATTATTTTACCCCCCAAAAAAGAGATTTTCGTAAAAAATTCCTAACTTTTTAAATTTTCATGCTAGACAATTAATTGTTTACACATACATAGTAGATGAGGCAGGCTTTATTGGGCCCAAATTTGGGCCCGGTCCGATGGGTCGTTTCAGCATAATACCCTTGTCAAGCAAAATGGGGATGTTTCTAAAGCAGTCTGTTGAATTGAGGATAATTTTTTTATATTTATTTTGAAAAGTCTACTGATAAGTGGAAATGCCAAACTATCGATCCTCTATCTCAGATTTTCCATTTAATTTTTTTATCGCAAGTAAAACGGCTCCGAGCATGACTGAAAATGGAAAAAAAAATAATTTGCGTGGGCGGGGGGAGCTCGCTGCCTACTCCGTTTGAATTCCCACTGATTTTTTCCACTATTGCCACAGTAGCAAAACCATCCGATCATTAGTTTTCGAAATACAGTGAAATAAACAAAAAAAAGCCCTATTTTTGCACTAAATATTGTTTATAAATCCCCTAAAAATAATTAGATGTTGCATTTTTGGTTTTTAGCATCTATAAATGATCCTTAACAATACTGCGTCGATAGTTTGCTGTTAAATTTTATTTTACGAAAAAAAATTATCTGCCTTGGCCTACAGGTCAATTCACATAAGAAAATTTTTTTTTTTTGGTGGTTGTTCACGATGTGTTATAGAGGGTCCTAAAAACGCATCGTGCCTCGTTCTCTGATTATTTACTAATTACTAGATATTCACTCAACAAATTAACCTTGAAATTTACAAGAGAAACCAGAATCATTATAGGGTCTTATTGGTTGGAAGGGATGCAAAATAAGTCGTTTTTCTTTATGTTTCTAGTTTCTAGTTTATGTATTCAGCAAAAATTTTAGATTTGTCACTTTTATTGCAGTTGATCGCCTCCTCAGCCCTATATCTAGCTGGCAAAGTCAAAGATGACCCCCTCAAAATCCGCGACATCATAAACGTAGCTCACAACACATTGCATAGAGGATCTACTCCTTTGGAAATTGGGGAGGAATATTGGAATATGAGAGATGGTATCGTGCAAGCTGAACTATTGATAATGAGGGCTTTGAAATTTGAGGTTGGGACCATTCATCCCCACAAATATATGTTGCATTATTTCAAGAGTATGGAAGGATGGTGAGAATTTCTGAAGATTTTTTTGTCTTTAAATAATAATTTGTAAATACATAGGTTAGGAAAAGATGTTTGGGACAACATACCCATAGCTAAACTAGCAACCTGTTTTCTCCAAGACTTGCACCTAGATCCAGCAGTATTAGACTATTCACCTCAACACATTGCTGTCGCAAGCATTTCACTTGCTCTTCAATGCTATGGAGTGCAACTTCCATTAATGGAAGACTTAGATGATGAAGCATGGTATTCTGTATTTGTTAAAGACCTGCAGAAAGACAAGCACTGGGAAATTATGGAGAAAATCATGGAGGTGTTTAGTAAAGAGACTGGTCATTAGTTTCACAGATGTAAAATTTGCTGTTCAAGTGCATTTTTTTTAGTTTTAAAGATATATTGTACCTATTTTACTTGGATGTGTGTAATGCTTGAGCGGCTCACTTATTGCTAACCTAGCATTACAATTTTGAACTGCAATTTTGCCAAGGCAATATACACATCACATCCTGTTGACTTTTTAAATTAAAAATAGTTAAAAACAGTGTATCCAGTCTTACAGACTGGAAGTATGTCAAGAAAGCAATTAATTTGGCAGAAAAGCTTGACTGGGACATTTCTATTTTCTATGATCATAACTAGAAAAAATATATTTTATTGATTATAATTTATGCCCTGGTTTGTGCATTTAAAAGTTTTCACAGTTTTGGGGTTTGACAGAAATCTGGAAAGGTGTGGTTGCTTGAGTAATAATTATTATTGTGCACTAGTCCATCTCTTCAAAGTGGAAATTTAATTCAAAAAGAAAACAAAGTCTTACTACTACAATACTTTAATCATGTTTCGAGGATAGGGATCCTCAACATACCTACCTAATATTTGAGCAAACGTGCCCATGATGATGAGGATCCCTATCCTGGAAGCATGATTAAAGTATTTTGTGGAGGAAGAATTTGTGTTTTTTTTTTTGGAGAGAATAAAACAGAAACAAATGCTTTTGCTTAAGTTTTTTGAGATAAACATATTCGGCTTTAATGCAGCAAAAAGAGACGGAGGTAGAGTGAAAGCATTTGCTACACTATTCATATGACTGATTTGTTTGTACTTGGACGATTATGACAGCTTTAATTTAGATTGCCTGGAGCTTAGAAATTGTTCTCAAATAGCAACATAGTTTTCAATCAAACATGTAGTCCTTACTTTTAAATGCACAGACTTTGGAGAAATATTTTATATAAAAAAAAATAAATTGACGTGGCAGATAATTATGACAGTAATCTTTGTTTTACCTACCTCTAAGATCAGTTGCTGACATAAATTCGAGTTAGATTGATTTAGTACCTTTTGATGTTTATGTTCACTTATAAATTTTTATAAAATAAATACAATCACGCTAATAAAGTCGTTTTTATTTTTAGATACATATATACTTTTTTTGTGAAAGGATGGTCAATGCGGATAAATTATAGCAACCTAAACTCCTTTGAGTAAAATCCTGCCAACCAAAAAAATATCTCCACCTTCAAAAGATTATGCTCAAGTGTCGATTTCAGACTTGCACTAGGTGATTTCCTAAGGGCCGGTTTGCCAAACACCATATATTTATGCTGGGACCTATATTCTTTTTTTTATTTACGTCAATGATTTACCCCAATTCGGGAAAGTTTACTCTCTTTGCGGATGATATGACCATCTTGTATGGTACAGTTCAGATGTGGAAAGGTTGAACAATGATATCAATGCAGATTAGAAGAGGTTAGCCTGGGCCGGCCCGGCAACTTTTAATGTAAATTGGTTGGCTCACGGGTTGCTGAATATCAACCACTTTGGATTTCAAGACAAGAAGAGCACTAGTGATGCAGTCAGAGCTGGGCAAAGCCCTCAGTAAAAGGGCTTGAAGCACTAAGCCCTAAGCCCTCTATCAAAGTGCTTCAATTTCAAGCACAAATTCCTTTTTATTTTCAAAAGTGCTTCACAAGCACAAAGCCCTCAAAGTGCTTTGGGCTTGACAGGCACAAAGCCCTCAAAGTGATTTGAAAAGTGCTTGAAGCACATCAAAAGTGCTTGGGGTGCCTTGAAAAGGGCTTCAAGCTCTTTAAATGTGCTTCAAGCTCTTTAAATGTGCTTGAAGCTCTTTAAATGTGCCTAAAGCACTTTGAATTTGTAATAAAATTCTCAAAGTGGCATAAGCTACCGCGTACACTCATCAAACAGAATTGGTATAGTAGAGACGAACTTTACATTTCACAGAGTAGCAGTAGTATGTTTTTTTTGAGATGTAGTTCTGGGGTACTACATGGTAATTCAATTTTAAGGTTTTGAAAATGTTCAATGGGGAAAAGTGGAAAAAATCCAGTGATAAAGTTAAATAGGTTACCAATATAAATTAATTATTTATTTGAATAATAAGTTCATTATTTTTTTTTTAAATTCCATTCTAAGCTCAAACCCAAAACCTCCATTGTTAAAAAAGAAAAGACATAAGACGGTTCAAGTTCAAATAATAGAAAAAAAAAGGGACAAAATACGATCGAAAATTTTCAAGTGGGGGATAGGTTGAGTGATGGTCAATTCAAATTCCTTTCAAAGTGCTTCAAGCCCTTTTAAAGTGCTTCAAGCCCTTTCAAAGTGCTTCAAGCTCCCAAAAGTGTTTCAAGCCCTCTTAAAGTGCTTCAAGCCCTTTCGAAGGGCTTCAAGCTCCCAAAAGTGCTTCAAGCCCTCTAAAAGTAATTGAAGCTCATTGAAAGGGCTTGAATTACTTTTTTCAATTACAAATTACCAAGCACTTTTCTAAAGTAATTGACTTTGCAAGCCCCAATTACAAATCTATAAAAGGGCTTGAAGCACAGGGCTTTCAAGCCCTCAAAGTGCTTCAAGCACTTTCGCAAGCACAAAGCACTCAAGCCCTGCCCAGCTCTGTGCAGTGTTCAACTTTTTTCAAAGGCTGTATCTTTGCCTGAATCAGGGGGAGATCGCGGCTGCGGTCTTTTGCGATTCGATTTTTGTAAGCCGTAAGATATTACTCCAGAAACTCTCTCATTATGGATTCAGGGGTAACACTTTGAGCTGGATTCAGTCTTATCTGACAGACAGAAAACAGATTGTTAAGGGCCACAACGATGTATCATCGGTACGGATCATTGAGCATGGGGTGCCCCAAGGATCAGTGCTTGGTCCCCTGCTCTTTTTGATTTACATTAATGATCTAGCTTGCATCAGCATTGATGCATCAATTTCCTGATGAGCGGATGTCACCTTGGAGGAGAGGATTGGGCAAGATATTCGCAAAGTAAAGCAGTGGTGTGACTCCAATAAACTAACTTTCAACATATCAAAAACAAATTTACTTTCCTTTAAGTGTTCTGTTGCAAATATATAAGTTTAAATTGATGAGCCACTTGCTAATGAGTGTACCAAGTTCTTGGGCTTAGCTATAGACTCAAGTTGTTTGGTGAACATATTAATAACCTGCGGAAAAAACTAGCTCCAGCATGTTATGCGTTAAGGACGTTTCGTACTGAGTCGGGTCATGACATTGCAAGGGGTGTGTACTTTGCACTTGTTAAGTCACGTCCAGGGCCGTATCTAGAGTCAAATTTGTGGTATGGCATAACAAATTTGACATAGGGCATACACCCCTTTCCCCCCTTAAGCTTTTTATAGGTTAACAAAAGAGGGATAATGGGCCCGAAGACAAATTTTTCAATAAATCAATGTTGTTTGAGAGAGGTAGGTTGCCTAATAACTTTATGACGTCATCTGGAGTGCCTCAATATAGTAAAAATCTCCAAGGCACCTTAGATGCGTCATTAAGTTACCCATTACCAGGCAACCTATTAGGTTTGTTCGGACTAAGTTCAGATTCAGAATCAGTTCTGAATTGAATTGCGCATGCGCATTTGTCCATATCGAACACAAATAAACAAATGCACATGCGCAGTTCAATTCACAACTGATTCTGAACTAAGTTCGAACAAACCTATTATTAACTTTAGGAACCTTGTCAATAAATAACATCTCTGGCTAGTGAACAAAATGGCGCTGATTCTCGCGCCGTCTTGGGCCATTAGCACTCTTTCGAAAGAAAAAACTTCCTCTGTGCAAATGTCAAACGTCAAACCATGTCAAACATTGTTGCATACAATTAGACGCTTCCGGAAACACTTATCCTCGCACTTACTCGATTTCAATTTATTTTAATTCATTTCATTGTCTACTCTTTCAAATTTCCTAGAGAAACCTTAATGCATCTTCTGTTTTAAAGCTAGGGCATCATCATTTGAAAGATAGGGCATGCCCCCCTTTGGCTACAGCCCTGGTCACGTCTCAGATATGGCATTGAATTTTGGGGTTTTACCATTGGTCAACTAGTTAATTCAGTTTTTGTTTTACAAAAGCGGGCTATTCGACTATTTTGTGGAGTCGGCTCTAGGGCTCACTGCCGACCCCTGTTTATCCGGGAGGAAATTCTTACATTGAATTTTTATTTTACTGACGGTGAGCATGGTTCACAAAAAATATAAAGAATCAGATACCTAACAATAATGACACCAGGATAATTGGGTTCAACAGCAACAATTTAGGAAACTTTGATTTAGGTCTGTGCATCCCAAGATTTCCAAGAAGTGCATTTACCAAAGAACTCAATAATATATGAGGGGAAAAAATGTATGTATAACCACCTGCCTCTTGAGATCAAATATCTAGAGAATAGTGTCATTGCTAGAAAGGTGAAGCAGCTTCTGCTTTTAAAAGCGTATTATTTTATGGAGGAATTTTATGGCGATAGGCTCTAGCTTTAGTGACTGTATAAATTATGACGTCTATACTATAACTTCAAATAGTATATTTCCTAACTAGTGCGGAAATGAGACTTTCCGCACGAGTTAGAAACACTATTTTTTCTACGAGATAGATAGAAGGAACGTACATCATTAATGTAAATTTTAACACCAATATTTGACATTTCTTTTGCAACACTTGGTATTGAAAACAAATAGAGTATTTTTTTCTTAATATAGGCTACTTTTATTAAAACTTATTTACTTATTTATTAATAAAAAAAAAACTAATTCTGAAATAATGTGCCTTATTCTGAAGACAATAAAATCCAGATTTGTCAACAATAAATTGTACGTTTGATATACATACTATGAAATTTTCAAAATTTTTAGGCATAAAGTAACCATCAGTTTGTAACTTGACAAGAAAGGTTAAGTTTAAACCGAAATAATTCAATAATCAACATTATTGGTTCAATAATTCTCAATACTGATATTTGTTTAAGTGTGTCAGCTTATAATTTAAAAAGTGAAACTTTCCAAACTAAAATGCGTGCGGAAAAGTGGACTTTTCCGCACGCTCGTAGAAAATAGTATATTAAAAACTAGTGCGGAAAGTACCACTTTTCCGAACGAGTTAGGAACACTATTTTTTTACGAGATGAAAGTTAATATTTTTACCTACATATTTATCAATTTAAGAGGGGCGTTTAAATAAAATGTCATTTACAGACCTTCACAAATTTCTGTTCAATTTCAAATTTAGACCACTTTTCAGTGAAATGAAGTTATGTTCATAACAATAATAGATTGGAGTAGAAGTCGAAGCTTTGTGTCAAAGTCAACAAAGCTATCTTTTGACTTTGGATGGATTACATCACAGTTACAGAAACAACGAAAAAGGATCAGAAAATTTTATAAATTGATACTGGATAGTACTGATCAGAAGTAGAATGCCAGGGAAGCAGTGGCGTATAAGAGAAGTATGGTACAGATGCAGACTACAAAAATAAAAAATAAAATGAGTTCCTTTTCACAGATATACAAGAGGAGAGGAAGTACACAGTCATTAATGACAAAATAATAATAATAGATGACTAGGTGAGATACGAAAAACAAGAGGGAAATTTCAGGATGCAACATAATAAATGAAAGAAGAAAAGTGAAAGAAGCAAAACAGAAAATGAAGGAGGAAAACTTCAATAGGTAATGAAAAGTCAATTCGATCCAATTCCATACGTCCTTGAGGGCATTAAGTTAGTCGATTAGGAAGAAATAAAAAAATTACAATTGTTGAAAACATAGTTAGAGTGAAGTTATCCATAAAATCTCAGCCATAAAACTACCGAATCGCAGCGGCGCCTACTTTGACCTACCAGGCCAGAGTCCATAAAATAGTTTTATGGCTGGCTTTCTAAGAAAGAGTGCATTCTTGAAAAAAATATAGATGGATGCAGAAATGATTCAGGAAGGTTCTAGAAGTACCGTGTAGTTGATTGCCTCACCATTGGAGTACCACAAAAAAAACATACTAGGAAAAACTGATTTCTCCGACTGACTATTCAAGGGCGTAGTGTGGGATGATGTGGGAAGAAATAAACATCTTCAAATTGGGGTGACAATTCCTCTAAGGGTGCGAAAAAAAATAAAAACTGTACCTTTCAAATCATTTTTGACTACATATTAATAGTTTCGTGTCCCTGGACACTGTCCATGAAATTGTGCGTTATTGTGATTATCTCTGGACTAATCCAGGATAATGTGAGAAGAAATTAACGTACTTAGTCAAATTGGGGTGACAAGCCGTGACAAGCTGAACCGATGGTTGAGTTTCAACCTTCGGTTGAATCCTATCAATTTGCATGGAGTCAACCGAAGGTTGAAACTCAACCATCGGTTCAGTGTTTTATAATACCGGCCATAAGGGTGCCAAAAAAATTAAAAACTCGACTTTTTAAATCATTTCTGACTACATATTAAGAGTTTCGTGTCCCTGGACACTGTCCATGAAATTGTGCATGATTGTGATTATCTCTGGACTTATCCAGGATAATAGGGGAAGAAATTAACGTAGTCAAATTGGGGTGACCAGCCGTCTAAGGGAGCGAAAAAAAATAAAAACTGGACTTTTTAAATCATTTTTCACTACATATTAATAGATTCGTGTCCCTCGACACTGTACATGAAATTGTGCGTTATTGTGATTATCTCTGGACTAATCCAGGATAATGTGAGAAGAAATTAACTTAGTCAAATTGGGGTGACAAGCCGTCTAAGGGAGCGAAAAAAATTAAAAACGACTTTTCAAATCATTTTTCACTACATATTAATAGATTCGTGTCCCTGGACACTGTCCATGAAATTGTGCGTTACTGTGATTATCTCTGGACTAATCCAGGATAATGTGAGAAGAAATTAACGTAGTCAAATTGGGGTGACAAGCCGTCTAAGGGTGCCAAAAAAATTAAAAACTCGACTTTTCAAATTATTTTTCACTACATATTAATAGATTCGTGTCCCTGGACACTGTCCATGAAATTGTGCGTTACTGTGATTATCTCTGGACTAATCCAGGATAATGTGAGAAGAAATTAACGTAGTCAAATTGGGGTGACAAGCCGTCTAAGGGAGCGAAAAAAATTAAAAACTCGATTTTTTAAATCATTTCTGACTACATATTAAGAGTTTCGTCAGTTTCGTGTCCCTGGACACTGTCCATGAAATTGTGCGTTATTGCGACTATTCCAGGGGTAGTCCAGGATATTGTGGGAAGAAATAAACGTAGTCAAATTGGGGTGACAAGCCGTCTAAGGGTGCCAAAAAAATTAAAAACTCGACTTTTTAAATCATTTCTGACTACATATTAAGAGTTTCGTGTCCCTGGACACTGTCCATGAAATTGTGCGTTATTGTGATTATCTCTGGACTAATCCAGGATAATGTGAGAAGAAATTAACGTAGTCAAATTGGGGTGACAAGCCGTCTAAGGGAGCGAAAAAAATTAAAAACGACTTTTTAAATCATTTTTCACTACATATTAATAGATTCGTGTCCCTGGACACTGTCCATGAAATTGTGCGTTATTGTGATTATCTCTGGACTAATCCAGGATAATGTGAGGAGAAATTAACGTAGTCAAATTGGGGTGACAAGCCGTCTAAGGGAGCGAAAAAATTTAAAAACGACTTTTCAAATCATTTTTCACTACATATTAATAGATTCGTGTTCCTGGACACTGTCCATGAAATTGTGCGTTATTGTGACTATTTGTGGACTAATCCAGGATGATACGGGAAGAAATTAACGTAGTTAAATTGGGGTGACAAGCCGTCTAAGGGTGCGAAAAAAAATTAAAAACTCGACTTTTTAAATCATTTCTGACTACATATTAAGAGTTTCGTGTCCCTGGACACTGTCCATGAAATTGTACGTTATTGTGATTATCTCTGGACTAATCCAGGATAATAGGGGAAGAAATTAACGTAGTGAAATTGGGGTGACAAGCCGTCTAAGGGTGCCAAAAAAATTAAAAACTGGACTTTTTAAATAATTTTTCACTACATATTAATAGATTCGTGTTCCTGGACACTGTCCATGAAATTGTGCGTTATTGTGATTATCTCTGGACTAATCCAGGATAATGTGAGGAGAAATTAACGTAGTCAAATTGGGGTGACAAGCCGTCTAAGGGTACGAAAAAAATTAAAAACTGGACTTTTTAAATCATTTTTCACTACATATTAATAAATTCGTGTTCCTGGACACTGTCCATGAAATTGTGCGTTATCGTGATTATCTCTGGACTAATCCAGGATAATAGGGGAAGAAATTAACGTAGTCAAATTAGAGTGACAAGCCGTCTAAGGGTGCGAAAAAAAATAAAAACTCGACTTTTTAAATCATTTCTGACTACATATTAAGAGTTTCGTGTCCCTGGACACTGTCCATGAAATTGTGCGTTACTGTGATTATCTCTGGACTAATCCAGGATAATGTGAGAAGAAATTAACGTAGTCAAATTGGGGTGACAAGCCGTCTAAGGGAGTGAAAAAAATTAAAAACGACTTTCTAAATCATTTTTCACTACATATTAAGAGTTTCGTGTCCCTGGACACTGTCCATGAAATTGTGCGTTATTGTGATTATCTCTGGACTTATCCAGGATAATAGGGGAAGAAATTAACGTAGTCAAATTGGGGTGACAAGCCGTCTAAGGGAGCGAAAAAAATTAAAAACGACTTTTTAAATCATTTTTCACTACATATTAATAGATTCGTGTCCCTGGGACACTGTCCATGAAATTGTGCGTTTTTGTGATTACCTCTGGACTTATCCAGGATAATAGGGGAAGAAATTAACGTAGTCAAATTGGGGTGACCAGCCGTCTAAGGGAGCGAAAAAAAATAAAAAATGGACTTTTTAAATCATTTTTCACTACATATTAATAGATTCGTGTCCCTCGACACTGTCCATGAAATTGTGAGTTATTGTGATTATCTCTGGATTAATCCAGGATAATGTGAGAAGAAATTAACGTAGTCAAATTGGGGTGACAAGCCGTCTAAGGGTGCGAAAAAAATTAAAAACTCGACTTTTTAAATCATTTCTGACTACATATTAAGAGTTTCGTGTCCCTGGACACTGTCCATGAAATTGTGCGTTATCGTGATTGTCTCTAGACTAATCCAGGATAATAGGGGAAGAAATTAACGTAGTCAAATTGGGGTGACCAGCCGTCTAAGGGAGCGAAAAAAAATAAAAAATGGACTTTTTAAATCATTTTTCACTACATATTAATAGATTCGTGTCCCTCGACACTGTCCATGAAATTGTGCGTTATCGTGATTATCTCTAGACTAATCCAGGATAATGTGAGAAGAAATTAACGTAGTCAAATTGGGGTGACAAGCCGTCTAAGGGTGCGAAAAAAATTAAAAACTCGACTTTTTAAATCATTTCTGACTACATATTAAGAGTTTCGTGTCCCTGGACACTGTCCATGAAATTGTGCGTTATCGTGATTATCTCTAGACTAATCCAGGATAATGTGAGAAGAAATTAACGTAGTCAAATTGGGGTGACAAGCCGTCTAAGGGTGCGAAAAAAATTAAAAACTCGACTTTTTAAATCATTTCTGACTACATATTAAGAGTTTCGTGTCCCTGGACACTGTCCATGAAATTGTGCGTTATCGTGATTATCTCTGGACTAATCCAGGATAATAGGGGAAGAAATTAACGTAGTGAAATTGGGGTGACCAGCCGTCTAAGGGAGCGAAAGAAATTAAAAACTGGACTTTTCAAATCATTTTTCACTACATATTAATAGATTCGTGTTCCTGGACACTGTCCATGAAATTGTGCGTTATTGCGACTATTCCAGGGGTAGTCTAGGATAATGTGGGAAGAAATTAACTTAGTTAAATTGAGGTGATAAGCCGTCTAAGGGTGCAAAAAAATTAAAAACTGGACATTTTAAATCATTTTTTACTACATATTAATAGATTCGTGTCCCTGGACACGGTCCAAGACATTGTGCGTTATTGTGATTATTTGTGGACTAATCCAGGATGATACGGGAAGAAATTAACGTAGTCAAATTGGGGTGACAAGCCGTCTAAGGGAGCGAAAAAAATAAATTTAAAATAAAAATTAAGGAAATTAATAACTGGACAAGCCAGGAGCGCAGAAATATTAACCTCGATAATTTTTAAATTAACTATTATGTTAAAATAGGTACGTAGATTACGGATATCGAAAACCAACGATATGAAATTCAGCTTTACTTGAATTAGATTTTAAATATTTAATATTTTGAACACAAGTCACAAATACCTTGCTTAAATTCTGCAACATTTAAACAGCCAAGTTTTTTGTGAAAATGCCTTTTGCAGAAATGACATTGGATAACGTTGTCTATTGTTCTGTTTCCACAGTAGATGCATCTATTTTTAACATCGTCCGATCTTTCTAATAATTTGAATAATAAGTTTCTTCGAAAATGATTCACGTTAATTTCTTGATTCATTGGCTGGTAGGTCGTTAGTTGTGAAAAATAATATATTATATAAACGCCGCAATTATGTGAGTCTCTTTGATTGGCGTGCTCTTTGAAAACAAGTTTCCAATTATTGGTGCAAATAGGTGAGCTTTTATTAACTACTTTATATTTTTCCAAAAAATTTAAAAAGTTTTTATAAATCTTTGCTGGGTGAGATGTCATATTTTCATTTCCAAATGGATCCATATAAGTAAGTTCATTTTTTTCGAAATCACACAATGCAAGGCAATAATGATTGTTATTTATCAAAAATGGCATAATTACGGTATCATTTTCAAAAATTTGAATTTGCTGTAGTATGTAGTCATTGACGATTCCATCGCACAGAATTATTTTTGATAAATTACATGTAATAACGTTGAATATATTTTCATTATTAAATATATATAGGCAAATATCAACAACGAAGTTGTTTAGCCACTGCGTTCCTGTTAGCGTAATTAGGTCTTCTTTCGTTAGTTCTCTTATTTCACAAGGAGCGTCTGCGTAAAAACATATATAAATAGGCTTTTTTATATCAGCTAAATAATAATTAAAGTCATTAACTAATCCGTTATCAAAAAATTCAATTTTTTTTTGGGTATTCCATTTAATAGGACTTTCAACTGCCATTGATTTTGCTAACGAAGGGATCATGTAAAAGTAGTAAAAAGCCTTAAGCTTGTGGAACATATCAATCCAAAATTCTTTATTTCTGTAAATTCTGCGCAATAGTGTTTCTCTATTAGTGTATATGAAAAAATCACACCATTCTCTGTTCGTAATTTCAAGAAGACCTTGAATCTGATAATAGTATTCACTATTTGTTTTAAGAGAACCATTTTTATCCATATATCTCAGTTTTCCTTGCTGTATTGCCTCGTATGGGCTTTCATTTCTAATTAGAAACGGACATTTAATTTCTATAATTCCATCGGTGCCTACCAAACCATCAGGAGATCCTGCTAGAAATTGGTACTTCGGATGAATTTGGAGCCCGGATGCCTGACAAACAATATCGGTAATTTGTTCGTATTTTATTAATGCCACTTTTTCCGTTTCTATGCCATGTTTAATACTTGGTACAAAATCCAAACACTTGGAATTTATAATATTTTTGCAAATAGAAAGTAGGGACTTCTCAGTACGGGCTTTACAAATAGCTCCAAAATTGGAAGCTGTTACCCTTTTTTTCCGTTCACTTAGCCATTCGTTATTGTTTCTTTGACCCCTGGTTTTTATTTCAATTGACATTAAATTATCTAAATTTTCAGTAAAATTTTTTTTGAAGAATTCCATATAGGTGTCAATGTTACTGTTTTTATTATCAGTATTACCCAAACTAATTATGTCCATATTGTCCATTGGAGGGGGTTCGTAAGATGAGCTACATTTGAAACAGAAAAATGTGTCTGAATTGAGAGAAATGTTAGTTTTTTCAGCGCACAATTTATGAATCCAGTTGTTGCATTTATCGCATTGCAACCAGTCTATAGGTCCAGACGCATTATCGTCATTATATAGCCTACAATAAACACATATCACGTTTTCTACATCTGAGTTTTCCTTACGAATGGTTTTAAATTCCAATATTTTTTTTAATTCATTTCCCTGAAAGTTAGAGGGCTTTGCAATTTTGATTTTTTTATTCCAGGTCTCCTGCGAATGAAGACCTTGATCACCTAATAAGAAATCTGACTTCGCGCATCTCTGATTTCTAACATTTAAAATATTTTCTTTGGCAAGGAATGTTACATAATTTCGAATTTTTCTTAAAACCCTACTGCATTTTTGGTTAACAATTTTATCTAAAACATCATTTTTTATTAATCCAAACCATCTTTCAGCTGGTGCATTACTGAGCCGCAATCCATCAGATAAAATTCCACTCCATAAAGGTAAATATGGAATATATCTTTTAAAAAATATTTCATAAAACTGTTTGTTATAGTAAATATTTTTTTGTGTGACATCTGAATCGCAAATTTTTAAGGAAATCGTGGTTACAAATGTTGTGAAGTATTGACTGAATGCACTTTTTTCATATTGTGTGTCTTTGTTAGTCTGATGAGTTTGTTCGGGCTGGCTCGTTAGTTCGTTTTTTTCTAAAAGGGTATCAGGATATAGGGACAATCCCGCAATTTTTTCAATGGCATCTTCAATATCCTGGCTATGAACCTCTGACATAGTAATGATATAAAAATTTCTAAACCATTTACAAAAATTGTTCCAATTTAAATTAAAGGCAACCGCAACGATTTCCTTCATCATTTTTCTGCATTGTTCTGGGTAATGTTCAGAAATTAACATCGAAAATAGTTTAAATACGTGAAAGCAACAAAGATGGATTTGGATGATGTTTTCTGGTATTTTTGTTTTATATCGCACCATATCAAATGTAATTTTTAAATACATCACCAAATCCATGTTATTCCAAGCGTTCAGTATTGCGTTGATGAAAGCAAAGCTAAAATCAACAACTGCTTTTGTAAACGGTGGCCAATGATGTTTGTTTAGGACAAAATAATTTTTAAAATTGAATAGCCATGAAGCAATGCAGCAAGCATCGTGATTTGAAGACACCATCTCAAAAACAGCACAAATTCTGTTATTTTCTGGAATTTTTATCACGCCAGCGTAATAATAAACTTTTTTGCTCTTTTCGGATGGTTTTCTTATAATGCTGCCAGTAGCATCTATGTGAATAATTGGCTGAGCGAGCTTTGCAATTAAATAATTTTGTTCCTTGCTAAATATATAAACGAAAAACGGTGATCCAACAGAATAAATATAGTCAGGGTGATCCTTTTGCATTTCTATTACATCGAGGATATCATCCTTATCTCGGTCATTTTTCGCAAGTTGTTCAGACCGTACACACCGGTACACACAGTCTGATTTTACATTGAGATTTCCCAGCTCAACCGACGATGAAGATAATGATAAAGTATCTTTTTGACGACGACGCATTGGCTTCATAAAAGTCAAGGAATTACCTACCATTTGTCGTTCTACACCTCTCAGCTGCGATGTTAAATTGTAAAGATGATTAAAATTTAGCGAGCTACTCAATACTTCAACTTTAAGGTAATGGATCTCTTTTCTTGGGTTTAATATTAATAATTTAAAACTTTTACATTGCTTATGAATACAATAACAATATACGGTCAAAGTATCTTTTCTCTCCGAGTAAAAAGATTCCTTAAAATATAATTTGCAAGTGGAATTAACTTTTTGAAATTTTTCATTAATTAGATAAGCATATTTTTGTGGAATCAAACTATTATTATCTGTAATACAATTATACTCTTCGACAGAAATTTGAAAAGTTCCTTCAAAATAATTGCATTTAGAAAACGATGGTCTTTCATGATTTTCATCACGCATATTTGTAGTGCCGATCGGTAAAAGAGTTTTGCTGTCGGTTTTATCATCAAATTTCAACATTTGAATTTCTTTCGGTATGTCATGTTTTTCAGAGCTTATGGGAGCAAATAAATTCTCTTGCTGATTATTTTTTTCAGTGCTCCCTAGAACACTATTTGCGTTATCAGAATTATTCGTTTTAAACGAATTATTATCTGATTCGTTATCATCTGGTGTGAAATTCTCAATCTTATCAGATTTATTTTCCTTTAAATTGACAGAAGTGGGGGGTGAACATAACATGAAATTATGGTGGTGTCTCTTCCAATAAGTTTGAAGCTTTTTACGATTTTTTAATGAATTCTTAAGTTTCATTGCACCACATAATTTTGAGTAAATCGACTTTATATTATCAGAGGTGTAAGCCGAAACACAAAACAAATCTGAAGACCTAATGTTTAATTGAATCAATGCTCTTCTAAAACGCTCAAACTTATCATCTTTACTATTCCCACGGATTGCAGACATTTCTTTATTTCTCTTAAAATATGTTTTAACATAATGTCTACTATTTTTATCATTTTTTTTAAATAAGTGCATACAGATGTCTTTGAGGATAGTATTATTTGATTTCATTTTTATTATATCCAAAGAAGAAATCTTAGGATAATTTTCCTCTAAAAAATCTTGTAACTTTTCAATTTTCATCTCACGCCTTGCCTTGGATTTCATTTTTAAAACTGAAAAACTTAACGTAAATTCAATTAATCTTTTTTTTCTGTAACAGAGAAGAGAAAACAATGTTTAGTATTACTTACAGCTAAATAATTAAACAAAATACTAAAATATTTGAAAACCAAATACTCAAAACTTACAGAATTAAAAACTTAATTAATTATCATAACAAAATATTGATTATTTTTCAAATACAAACAAGTTAAACTAAAATAGAATTCCTAGAGAACTGCAAATCCTATATTTACAACCTCTTTTTACAGAAAAAAATTTACGAAACCAAACTTAACTAAAACCAAAATATTCGAAAACCAAATCTTCAAAACCTATAGAATTAAAAAATGAAATTATTATTAGGCTTTAATTAATTATCATAACAAAAGATTTATGGTTTTTCAAATACGAACAAATTAAACTAAAATAGAATCCCTAGAGAAATTCAAATCCTATATTTACAACCTCTTTTTACAGAGAAAAAATTACGAAACTAAACTTAACTAAAACTAAAATATTCGAAAACCAAATCCTCAAAACCTATAGAATTAAAAAACGAAATTATTATTAGGCTTTAATTAATTATCATAACAAAAGATATTATGGTTTTTCAAATACAAACAAATTAAACTAAAATAGAATCCCTATAGAGAAATTCAAATCCTATATTTACAACCTCTTTTTAGAAAAAAATTTGAAATCGTGTTCTAAATTAAAACCATGCCAAAAATATGCCGATGTGTAAATCAATATTTACAAGAAAACACCAGGAACACTTTTTAAACAAAATAAACTAAAACCTACTCTAGAGAATAACAAAAAGATAAACAAGAAAAAATAGCTATACCTACATCTTTATAAGAACGCACTACAAAATTTGTCAGGAAAAATCGAGGGAAAAATCCTATAATATCAGCCCATCAAGCAGGTACCAAAATATACCTGACCAACAGAAGACCGTTAATTTAATATTCAAGAGACAAAGAGCCAACATCCAACATCAATATAAATCGAAATAGCTCACCGTATTAACAAAGTCATACATTTATTTTGGTTCAGCTCTGTGTTCAATCAGCGCAGATAATGTAGAGCGCAACGTCTGTATAAATCAAAACCAGTCTCGTAACGCGCTCCTGAGGTGCACCGAAATCGAATCTTTCCGAAGAGCGAATTATGAAAAATATGGAGTTTTCGCACGTTATGCGGCCAAATGTTAAAAAAAAATCGCACCATGCATGAGACGGCTTGTCGGGGGTAATACCACGAGTGCTGAAAAATTACCGATAATTTTTCACGATTGGGTGTTTTTTATAATTTCACGAGTTCGTAGGACGAGTGAAATTTGCAAAGAAAACACGCATGAGTGAAAAATTATCTAGTTAATTTTAAAGCTCGAGTGGTATTTAGAGGAATATTTCACGAATTTAAAAACATAACTTCACCAACAAAATCAAATAATGTATTTTTATTAAAAAATATTAATAATAAACAAATACATTTGATTTAATATCAAACTGGTCGTCCTGACGACGTGGTATTATCGTTTTGGTGTTATCGATTTTGTATATCCGCTGTAATTTTTTGATTTGACACTTTTCTTATGGGAAAATTTATACATGAGTGAAATATTCACCTCTATTTGAAGATGTTAATTTTTTCTCACATTATCCTACACTACACCCGGAATAGTCGCAATAGCGCACATCATGGACAGTGTCCAGAAAGCATAGGTACTTATATTTATCGATTTGTTGTAAAAAAAATGTTTTTCTACTGCTGCCTCTAAAAATGGAGTTTTTCACACCCTAGACAACCTCTGAAAATAGAGTTTTCAGCGTGTGAAAAGGTTTTTCGCATCACCCTTATAACCTTAGTTACCGCACGGTTGTAGATAAAAATTACGTATGTGGTTGTTTTATTTTGCAGTTGTAGAAAAAGAATTGTAAAAAACCCATAGACGGCTTGTCATGTCACCCCAATTTGACTTCGTTAATTTCTTCCCCTATTATCCTGGATTAGTCCAGAGATAATCACGATAACGCACAATTTCATGGACAGTGTCCAGGAACACGAATTTATTAATATGTAGTGAAAAATGATTTAAAATGTCCAGTTTTTAATTTTTTTCGCACCCTTAGACGGCTTGTCACCCCAATTTGACTACGTTAATTTCTTCCCCTATTATCCTGGATTAGTCCAGAGATAATCACAATAACGCACAATTTCATGGACAGTGTCCAGGGACACGAAACTCTTAATATGTAGTGAAAAATGATTTAGAAAGTCGTTTTTAATTTTTTTCACTCCCTTAGACGGCTTGTCACCCCAATTTGACTACGTTAATTTCTTCTCACATTATCCTGGATTAGTCCAGAGATAATCACAGTAACGGACAATTTCATGGACAGTGTCCAGGGACACGAAACTCTTAATATGTAGTCAGAAATGATTTAAAAAGTCGAGTTTTTAATTTTTTTGGCACCCTTAGACGGCTTGTCACCCCAATTTGACTACGTTAATTTCTTCTCACATTATCCTGGATTAGTCCAGAGATATTTAAAATAACGCACAATTTCATGGACAGTGTCCAGGGACACGAATCTATTAATATGTATTGAAAAATGATTTAAAAAGTCGTTTTTAATTTTTTTCGCTCCCTTAGACGGCTTGTCACCCCAATTTGACTACGTTAATTTCTTCTCACATTATCCTGGATTAGTCCAGAGATAATCACAGTAACGCACAATTTCATGGACAGTGTCCAGGGACACGAAACTCTTAATATGTAGTCAGAAATGATTTAAAAAGTCGAGTTTTTAATTTTTTTGGCACCCTTAGACGGCTTGTCACCCCAATTTGACTACGTTAATTTCTTCTCACATTATCCTGGATTAGTCCAGAGATATTTAAAATAACGCACAATTTCATGGACAGTGTCCAGGGACACGAATCTATTAATATGTATTGAAAAATGATTTAAAAAGTCGTTTTTAATTTTTTTCGCTCCCTTAGACGGCTTGTCACCCCAATTTGACTACGTTAATTTCTTCTCACATTATCCTGGATTAGTCCAGAGATAATCACAGTAACGCACAATTTCATGGACAGTGTCCAGGGACACGAAACTCTTAATATGTAGTCAGAAATGATTTAAAAAGTCGAGTTTTTAATTTTTTTGGCACCCTTAGACGGCTTGTCACCCCAATTTGACTACGTTAATTTCTTCTCACATTATCCTGGATTAGTCCAGAGATATTTAAAATAACGCACAATTTCATGGACAGTGTCCAGGGACACGAATCTATTAATATGTATTGAAAAATGATTTAAAAAGTCGTTTTTAATTTTTTTCGCTCCCTTAGACGGCTTGTCACCCCAATTTGACTACCTTAATTTCTTCCCCTATTATCCTGGATAAGTCCAGAGATAATCACAATAATGCACAATTTCATGGACAGTGTCCAGGGACACGAAACTCTTAATATGTAGTCTGAAATGATTTAAAAAGTCGAGTTTTTAATTTTTTTGGCACCCTTAGACGGCTTGTCACCCCAATTTGACTACGTTAATTTCTTCTCACATTATCCTGGATTAGTCCAGAGATAATCACAGTAACGCACAATTTCATGGACAGTGTCCAGGGACACGAATCTATTAATATGTAGTGAAAAATGATTTGAAAAGTCGTTTTTAATTTTTTTCGCTCCCTTAGACGGCTTGTCACCCCAATTTGACTACGTTAATTTCTCCTCACATTATCCTGGATTAGTCCAGAGATAATCACAATAACGCACAATTTCATGGACAGTGTCCAGGGACACGAATCTATTAATATGTATTGAAAAATGATTTAAAAAGTCGTTTTTAATTTTTTTCGCTCCCTTAGACGGCTTGTCACCCCAATTTGACTACCTTAATTTCTTCCCCTATTATCCTGGATAAGTCCAGAGATAATCACAATAATGCACAATTTCATGGACAGTGTCCAGGGACACGAAACTCTTAATATGTAGTCTGAAATGATTTAAAAAGTCGAGTTTTTAATTTTTTTGGCACCCTTAGACGGCTTGTCACCCCAATTTAACTACGTTAATTTCTTCTCACATTATCCTGGATTAGTCCAGAGATAATCACAGTAACGCACAATTTCATGGACAGTGTCCAGGGACACGAATCTATTAATATGTAGTGAAAAATGATTTGAAAAGTCGTTTTTAATTTTTTTCGCTCCCTTAGACGGCTTGTCACCCCAATTTGACTACGTTAATTTCTTCTCACATTATCCTGGATTAATCCAGAGATAATCACAATAACTCACAATTTCATGGACAGTGTCGAGGGACACGAATCTATTAATATGTAGTGAAAAATGATTTAAAAAGTCCATTTTTTATTTTTTTTCGCTCCCTTAGACGGCTGGTCACCCCAATTTGACTACGTTAATTTCTTCCCCTATTATCCTGGATAAGTCCAGAGGTAATCACAAAAACGCACAATTTCATGGACAGTGTCCCAGGGACACGAATCTATTAATATGTAGTGAAAAATGATTTAAAAAGTCGTTTTTAATTTTTTTCGCTCCCTTAGACGGCTTGTCACCCCAATTTGACTACGTTAATTTCTTCCCCTATTATCCTGGATAAGTCCAGAGATAATCACAATAACGCACAATTTCATGGACAGTGTCCAGGGACACGAAACTCTTAATATGTAGTGAAAAATGATTTAGAAAGTCGTTTTTAATTTTTTTCACTCCCTTAGACGGCTTGTCACCCCAATTTGACTACGTTAATTTCTTCTCACATTATCCTGGATTAGTCCAGAGATAATCACAGTAACGCACAATTTCATGGACAGTGTCCAGGGACACGAAACTCTTAATATGTAGTCAGAAATGATTTAAAAAGTCGAGTTTTTATTTTTTTTCGCACCCTTAGACGGCTTGTCACTCCAATTTGACTACGTTAATTTCTTCCCCTATTATCCTGGATTAGTCCAGAGAT